ATATATACGCATTATACGTGTTTGAACATACTGTAACAAACACACAAAAGTAAAGGTAGGGTCCATATTTCTTTTAATTTGACTTGTATGCAGTTCGAGGTATATATATTCTTTATTGTACTTGCGCTATAAATTTAATCTCGCAGTATTTGTTTGCATTTTCGTTTTCTGCGGCAGCTACGAAAACATGAATGACTTAGCTTTAAATTCTAACATTTCCCTTTCGTCAAATACCTCAAAACGTAAATTTCCTCTTGACACTTTTAAGAGGTGAGGAACACACGTACAACACCAGGTCGAGTTTAATGATTTTATTTGCTACTAGTTAGGAGTAATATAATACTCTTCATCAGGCATACGTATATTTAACGGTTTAAAAAAAGAAGTAAAAATATATCGTTAGCACCGCGAAATAGGAAGGAAACAGTGTAAAGTGATATTCTATAAAGGCATGATTAGTTGGTAAATTTATAAATAAACGAAATAACGTCAAATGTCAATAACGTTTCTTTGATAATAATGAAATTATATTCGGCAAACAGTTGTTTCATCTACTAAACTGCTGCTGCTATGGGACGACTGACATAATGATTCAAAAGCTCCTAAGTCGTAAGAATATATACTACATGTTTATAGCTTTACTCTGTTGATAATTAACATTATGATTGATAATAAGCATTGTGCTGTCCGCAGATCATAAAATATTACAAAATTTTATATCCGTCAGGTATCTGAAATAATATGATGTCTGCACTTTTCGAGACACGAGAATCTACTTTCATGTCATCGTAAAGAAATTCAGACATTTCTTCACGCCCCCTGTCTTTCCCTCTCCTTATCACATCTTTTAATTGCATTGTGTGACTGTTATACAACAAAAAAGCGTAAGAAAATGGAGAGAAATGAAAACTAAAAGTTGCTTCTGTTCATGAGAGAAAATGGGCAATATCTTTAATCAAAAAGACCAAGTTTCCAGGCCATCAGGATTCAACCCATAAATATATGAGTACAATCATAAATGCAATGACATATGACTTTTATCTTTAATAATGTCGATATAACTATAAAAAATAATCCTCATAAATCACCTTGTTGCGTCACTGAATTCCGGAAAGGAAATCATAATCGTTTAAGCTTATTATAAGATAGCATTTGTAAAGCTTAGATAATATAATTGTCTGACACTAAATGAAGTGCGAGAAAATTATTACGCGTTGTGACAGAACATATTTAGTATTCATTATATTTAATGCTGATGTAATACTTTATTTCACTATAAAGAATCTTAGATTTTTTAATTATCTTTGGCTATACTGTTCATAATTATGTTCACAAAAGAATTTCAAAGCATCCGATAAAGATAAATGAAAAAGACAAACGGGACGGCCTAGTATAATTCTGCCTCTGAACTAATCGTGTGTTCTAGTTGTACTTTGATACAAAAAGCAGACCAATATCTAATTCACAAAGATAAATACAAGATAATGAGTCTGTCAAATGGATGTTATTTCAACTTGCACAAATATTCCATTTTCCTACTACAGAACGTCATTGTTAAAAACAATATTCTTCATTTAGAACAGAATAGTTTAATATCAGATAAAGGACAATTTTCTTTACCCATAACGTTTTATTGAAAACTAATAAATTACGACAGAACTTAATTTCAATTTTATTCAGATTTCTAAAACTACAGCATTCTGTCGTTTATTCATTTAAACTTCAAGAAACCGGACAGCTCTAGGTTAATATTTGCTGCATAATATAAATGTTCTCAAATAAATGAATATTGAGCAGATTGCCTTAACAGGGTTTGTCTGTTTAAATCAGAGTTTTCAGAGATCTTCGTATAATATATATTTCGTATGACTTAGCACGCCCAGATCTGTCTTGTTAATGTTTGTAATGTTATTATCTCTTTTTAAGACACGTTCCACTTAATGATTTAAGTTGAGTGTCGGCTGAAATATCACTATTTCTCCTTCCCTGTCACGTTAGCTTTCATCGTTATATTAAAATATGCATAGCTTATATTAGTTAATGCCTGCAAAAATTTTCTGTCAATCAGTGCAGTATTTAAAGAATTCCATATCCTATTGGTTCATTTCCTTACCTTGAAGTGCTAACGCTATGTTGATTTAACCAGTTTACAGTGTTCGTGTAGGTTGCATAAAGAAAAAGTGAACATTAGATCATTTATGCGACTGCTTTAACAACTTTAACAACTGGAAAACGGAACATGTTCCTCAATTGTAAATGATGGCGAAATGATAATATCAGTAACTGTTATGTTTTATCTGGTTATACATACACTTAATTATACCCTAGGAACGTAAATAATCATATTATTGTCTGGCTTTCGAAAATGCCCAAATGGATTAAGAATAAAAATAGAAGAATAGGGTTTGTAAAAAGTTATCATATTTTAAGTTTCAAGTCAGAATGGAAGTCTTGCCCATTATATATTTCAGTATTTCAGGTTTAGTTTATGACACAGCTTGCTGTTCTTCTCAATGTATTGTTTCAAATAGAAATTATTGAATTTATCTTAAACAAAAACACAAAATGTATACCAATTATATATCTTTCTTGATTTATTACCATTTCTTATATCCTTATCATTGCCTCTCAGTAGTTGATATATAAATATAACTAATATGTAAAGAAAAAATCCATTGAACAGAAAAAATCTCAATCTCAAAATTTAAAGTGTATTAAGCTATATATCTGATGCGAAATTTATTGTTTGGATCTTAGAAAAGAATTGAAATTATAATTAAAAGAGGTCTGGTAATTTGTCAGCCTCATTGTGGATCTGGCTCAAGAAAACAGAGCCATTGATGGAGGGTCAAAAGAGCAATAGTTAGGCACTACCCGCTTCAAGACAGATGAAGCAGGGATAGCTCAAGCCTACCATCGCCTGGCTAGCTTGCTATCACTCTAGTTGGCGCTCCATAGGAGGGCGTTGTGGGAAGCGCCGAAACGCCAAATGAATATGGCATCCAACCGAGGAAGAAGATAGTAACAGCAGTCGATTTTGTATCTTACAACTTTATATCTTTTTAAACAATATTTTTAAATTTAAAGATAAGCAAAGTAGATAGTATGTTACAATTTCAAATTTATCATATAAGATGTAAAAATATTAATACAGCTCCATTGGAAAAATGGATAACGTTTCTCTGGAAAATAAAGGTTTAGATATAGGGAAACGACTTCTGGAATGATAAAAAAAACCTTGTATAAAATATAAATTGACACTTCAACTTTATTAAAATAAAAGAAGACAAGTATTTTTATCTTAAATCATCCTGCCTCAACTATTCTTCAGTCACATATCTACATATCTGTCATTTATTTTATTGATGAGAACAGTATTAAATTATTTCCATTGACACTCAAAGCTATATATAACAAGATCAATGCGATTTAACACAAAGCATATAAAGGCAATTGTCAGATAAAATCTATATAGTGAGAGTATGTCTAAAAATATATCAAAAATCCTGAGAGGCCCTTTGAATTTATATCCGAGACAACTTACTTTAAAGTCTTTCATAAATGTGAAGGTTTGCTGTTGGCTGTATCGATCAAATCACTTATAGTAGGGTAGCCTTTATTTGCATTCAAAGCATATACTAGATTAACCCGACATAAGTCATTTTAACATTTAAGAAACTTTCATCTGATTATTACATAAAAAAATCAAAATTGTAAAAAACTTTTCACACCATGGCAGCAGCTAGTAAGAACTAAAAGCATTTGAATTAGGATCGAAAATATATAAATCAAATTTGAAATAATGCTGAAATATACAGTATCAAATAAATTTACTTTAGCATTTTTTTCCAGCACAGTTCGAAAGTGTTTAAGATATCCAAATATACTTTAAAATCTATTATGAATATGAATATAATTTGTTGTAATGAATACATGAAAACAGACATTTTTGTAAATTCTAAAGGAAATAATCACAAGATTTGAGAATAGATAATATTTCTACATATCTGTTCATCATGAAAATGCGTGTTTCTCTCATCTTTGGTAAGATGAATTGTATAAATATTATTATTTTCATGTGTATGCTATGCCTTTCATGTGATGTACTTTTATATGCTATAGCTCATATTGCCATGTGTGTAACACTTGAATTGAGCTCTGAAATAAACTTTGAAACTGCTGAAAGTATTGTCTAAATAAACCGATTCAAAACAAACTGACAAATTCTACCAAATTCTGTTCATACGAATGCCCTAATCAGGGTCAAGTAGAGGATGATTCAACGGCATTGTTGCTATAAAAAGGGTGTTTCAATAATATAGAAACTTTAATATTATTTTTTCATATTCACAGTAGCCCAATTATTTTTTTTTTTAAATCTATGAATAAATTACAAAACTATAAAGAAACACAACCATCAAAGTAGTTTTTTGACATTGTACAACAACTATCTTTTTTAAATATGTAAACGTACATTTTAAATTGATGAAACTGTGTATAAATTGTCAATTTATCTTTTTTATAACATGTAATTAGTACGGTAAAATCCATGTTTAAATATTATACGTTCACATTTCTTGTGTAAGATTACGCCTTATTTTATGTGATATTCTTACATGTATATAAAAGTACATGTGTTACATTGTGTTGGCTAATTATGTTGGTTTTTTTTTAATTACCTAGCTTTGAAAAGAAAATAGAATTAAAACTAAAGATAAGATTCAGCATTTTAGGCATGGATACACATTACTTAAATACTTGGTGGCTATAAACCAATCCTTACCTTAAGTTTAATCGAAAGTGAGTACAAACTAGTTCACTTAAAAATTCTCAAGATAAGCCTTGTCAAAAATGTATATAAACTTACATTTAACATCAGCAAATCTCAAATGTACTTTTCCATATCTTTGGTCGTTATGCTGCGTTTATTTCTATTAATTTCTGGCATAGTGTTTGCTAATGGCAGTTCTTTTGAAGAACGTTTGAAAATTCTTGAAATAATGGTTGATAAACAACAAGCCGAGATGGATTTATTGAAACAGGCAAATATCGAACTGAAACAGGAAAATCTCCAGTTGAATTATGACAATACCGAATTGAAAAGCCGCGTAAACGAATTGGAACTTGACGTCTCGAGACTCAAAGACGAGGGTATGCATAACAGCCCAAGCTATGAAAGTCACATAAATGCAGCAATGCATGACAACCTTGACAGCATAAATAAAAGCAGCGTATCGGATTGGCATGGCACGCCAAATGTTCAAAAAACCAATCACACATTCAAAAATTTCTAAAAGAAGTTATGCTTTTTCATGTTTTTTCAAATTTTAATAAGTAATTACATGCCCGTTACTAGAAAATGATAACATTTGATACACCCATTTTTACCCCTGTGTAGAACCTATAAGGGGGCGTTGCTTTTGCCCCCAAAAAGAGAGTTTCTTGCCGAACAGGGGTTTTTTTTTGACGATTAGTTTAATTTTTAGAAAAAAGAAAAATCCGTAAATCATAATGTAAACATATTACAATTTTGGACTTAATTGTTTAGCAAATTGATAGAAGAGTAAAGTTTATGTACTGTCTAGAAAGTTGTGAATCATGTTTCACAAAATTAATTAATAAATGCATTTAAACAAAACAAGCGAGGTTTTACGCACGCGAAGGAATGGTCAGCTGTGTACTTCATACCTTTAGAAGAGCCGAATAAAATGTTACCTGGTCCATTTACATTTGCCCAGTTGATGACATTGAAGGGGAAGCTTTACGACACGAAAATTCCATTACTTCAGTACTAGTAGTACTTGTTTCAGTCAATGTCGTTTTTGCGCATGCGCAAAATGCAACATTGATTGCTATGGAAAAATAGTTTTGTAAAAAGGTTTTTAAAACATTAAAGGCACCTGACCCGTTACCTTATCCAACTTAAATAAATCAGCACACGTGTGACCTCGCTTATTATATAAATGGCAGTTGTTTAAGTTGTTGCCGCACAACAATATCCAAATCATGTCAAAAGAAAAATACAAAACTTTAAGAGATAAATTTCTTCAAAACGAACTTATTTTTCCTAGTTCCTTAAAGTCAACAAATGGATATATTGAAGAAAATTAGATGATTTTCGACAGTGAATTGCAACAGTTCTAACACCGATGCGTTTTGTCCAAATGCAAAACAGTTCCCCTAAAGTGGAGGCATGTTTACTTAAGTCTGGTTCCACGATATTTAATCCAGGTAAACCACGGACTGTTGCACAGTCCATTATTTGTATACGGAGATAAGAAAAAACATTGCCTTTCAATTTATAGAAAATGAATATAAAAATATTTTTAAACAAAATTACAAATTTGAAATTGGCCATGAAGTGTAAAGCTATTGCATGTGAATGCTTTTATGTACTGTGTTTTAATTGACGGCTTGAAAAACAAATCGTGCCATTGCTTCATACCAGATTTACAAAAGGACCTGTTGTTATAATTGGTTCAAGATTAAATAACGTGATTTTAATCATCAGTTTCAGTTTTAAATTTCAAATGTAAATGGGTTAAAAATAAATAGAATATGAGTAAGTAAACATGATTCTTAATATGTGAAATAAAAGATAAACATCGTTTCACCATGTTGTCCCCGGTGGTCAAAATATTGCTTATCAGATAATCACATATACAGAATATCCCCAAATGTAACCCTAAAAGGGAGACACATGCAAAATTTTCATTTCTTCGTTTTTTATCATTCATTATTATGTAAATGCAATCAAAATGAATAAACTAGGCAGTCACAGGAACAAAACTATGCTCCTTATTAAGAATAAACTTGACCCACCTGGGCCAGGTTAGAGCCTTAAGATTTCACAGTTGTTGTCACAGTGAACTCTTGAAACGTTAAAGAACATATGAAATGAATGACTTAGACTTGTTTTAATTATACAATATCCAGGATATCTGTTATTGTGACTTCCAGAAATATCTGTTGTTGTAACTTCCACGGTTTTTTTCAAGACACATGACTTGTTTTAAAACTACTCGGTGATTCTGTCGACGTATAGATCCCGTTCAACATATTAAGATCAATTTACGCTTCAAACCCAAACTATAAAGAAATAATAAAGAAATTCATGTTGGGACTTTAAAATATATCATTTTAGCGTGATTTGAGTGATTTTTTTGTAATTAATTTGTCTTAGTATCCCTTTAACACCAACTTAATAAATTAGATATGAAATGCTGGTAAATGAATATATTTAAATGTCTCATTTCAGAGGAACTATTACAATCAGAAAGGATTGCGTTTCATGTGTACCTTTCTTCAAGCAAATGTTTCAACGATCATCAAATAATTGAATACGACACTGAAGTTTTAGATACTGGAAATGGCTATAATGAACATGACGGGATATACATTGTACCAGAATCCGGAATATATGTGTTTACTTGGACATTCACAAATGATATTGCTGAATATGCTATCACTGAAATTGTAGTTAATGGGGAGACTCAAGGATGGACGATAGCTGATGGATCTGGTCAAAGACTTTTGTATAATCCCTCATCTGGTCTTGTTCTAGCCAGAGTGAACGCTGGGGATCATGTTTTCATAAGACGTGTAGAAGGTCGCGGTTGCACAGCTTACAGTGGCCAGTACGTTCAACCGACGTTTTCCGGATGGCAACTTTCTCCATGAAATTATGTGTTGACTTGATTTTAGAACTACCATTCACAAACAAAAATAGATAAAATGTGAAGGAGCATTTATGTTAATTTTTGCTTTATTAGCTTGCAATTACTACTGTTGTTTATTTGATCATTTAAACCGAGCCTACGATGTTTTCAATTTGCAGTTTGGGTTTTCTTTAGGATGATCTTTTTTCTCTAATTTAGTACTGATTAAATTATCAATTATACGACTTCCAAATGAATCCGTTGTATTACTACTAAATGTACGAGGGCTATTACTATACTACTTCGATATATTCAAGGAAATTTTATCGTAGAAATGTGTGGAATAGACCGATTTAACAGTTTGTTGACTGTTTTCACAAAACATGATAAAATAGTTACAAACATTTAATTTACCCCTTAAACATAAATAGCCCGGCACTAAATGTAAATCAATGTCGACGTCATTCGAAAGTCAAATGGGCGTCACACTTTCTTAACCTAACTGCCGCTAATGCTAAAACATTTTTGATATCTGTGCACCCACATATTGAACGTGGCTACGTACATAGGAGCCAAAACTACGTTATAACGATCAGCATTAACATGAACATTTACAATGTTTATACATATCAGACAATGTATTTTAATAATGTAATATTTTTAATAAGATACACACAATGACCCTAATTATTTTTTTCACGTTAGAAAAACAATCTTAGATATTTTATTGGAGTCTTTATCGGTTAAACATATCTCCATGCTTTTTGTTATTAAGTGTTGTGTCGTTATGCCAACGCTGTACAGAGTGAGCCATCGAAAACATTTTTCACAACAAAATAACATGAAAATTGCAGACTAGGTTTGATTGAGTCTGTAAACGAGGGATAATAAATAAGTTCAACATAAACATGGTGATTTTTCATGAATCATTTTCAATCTCAAATCTGAATTGGAAAATGCAGGTTATTCTTTGTTAAGATAGTGAGATGTCTTAACATCATCACATTATCAACAGTTTCACAGAACCATCATAGTGTTAAAATATCTTCACATATTACTTTATACTGACGTAAAAATAATATGAAATCCCTGAAATGCTTCTGTAAAAATGGCAAATATTACCGTCAACCTAGCTACATTTCAAACACACTGACATCCTTAAGCCTCTAATGTTTCAAAATAATGTTACTGAAATTAAAACAAAAAAATTATGCCAAAGACCATAAACACTACCTAAACCCGATATGAGATGAACATCTCATCTAAAATGTGTAACAGCAAGTGCTTTTGATAACTCAGTCACCCTTCCTTGCATTATTTCAGTCACATTAGGCAACTGAGTAGAACCTACGACGTTCCGTAAGCTACCTGGATAATTCCGTGAAAGAATCTAAGTCCGTAACGAGATTTGAACTTCCAACTGGCAGGGGCTAGTTTTTTTTGGTCAGGGGCTAGTTTTTCAAGTCATTGATGTGGGTCCATGCCCAGATTATGAACGGGTATATCATAAATGACAATAAAATACAAGAAGTAAAACTTGAACGTAACGATGTATAATAATCTTTCCTAGACAAAATCATAAAACCAAGCATGCGATTTTTGACGGATTTGTTTCCTTTGCTATCGGCGACCACCTTTTCCCTCCGACATCTTTTGACGTATGAATTCCTACCATCTAAGGAATAAACATTTACTTACAACTGGATTTAAAGCGCCTTGATCAAGCATGTATAAATGTTTAAGAATGATTTTATATATAAAAATAAATGTGTGTGTGCGTGCGTGTGTAGATATGTCAAGTCAAAAGCTTCCATATTTACAGCTTTCTTCAAAGGTTTTAAAGCGGCACGGCTCCAGATTCGTGCTAATTTTTATTGAAATATATTAAAAGTAAAATATTGTGATGTTAACAAAGAAACTAATTTTCGGACACCACGCAGACTTACAACCTGTATATGTTAATTGCCCAAAGGGGCCAAAATATGCAAAAATATCCCTCACTGCGTTAGTACCGCAGTAGAAATATATTGAAAATTACTGGCAAGTCATAAATCGCACAAAACACACAACGGATATCAATCAGCAACTTCACCATGGATACAGGGATAAGAACCCCTTAATTAGCTGGAGAATAGTTTGAAATTATGACGCCGTAATCACTCATCTATAAATAGCATATACTGTAAAACACTTATTATTCGCGAGAAATTTATTTTCGCTAATATTCGCGAGTTTTCTAAGACGCGAATTTATATTTCTCGCGAATATTTCACTTTGTCTATACACTTGTCCGAAAATGAACACTATCCGAAAATGCGTACACGTGGATATATATCTGCGGGAAAGTATCGAATTCAGTTCTAGTTACATCATGTAGCTATTCAAGTGTTGCAGCATATACATATCGTACATATTACTAGTATGAAATATTTGCTTGTAACAATTTGGTATTATTGAGGAATTGGAAAAAAACTTCTTCGCTGCATATTACCTGTGTCAAGGAAGGTAACTGTGACTTGCACTAGAATTAAGTATAAACAAATTAATGCGTCTCACAAAATTTTAATGGTATTTCTACAGATTGTTCTAATTGGTACAAATACTTTAGCACCTTCGAGTTGTTTGTAACATTTCTATTTACTGTATCCTATTGTATTTTACTACAGTTCAAGCCGGAGGGTAAACATAATCGTTTACTACAGGTAAGGCAAATTGCAGTACCGTTTAATTGATTTTCGTCTGCTTGCCTTTGAATGGCTAATCAGTGAAACTTTAACAGAGTGAACACATATCAAATAATTATCAAACTTTATTGACATATTTCTCACTGAACAAGAAGATTAGCAGGTTATCAGAAAAATCGATACAGATATAAATGCATTCGTCGCACAATAAACGACGGAAAGTTAGTGAACTGACAGGACAGAAAATATCCGAATGACATCGGGTTTCCGGTTTCACATTTTTCGGGAAGACGCGAATTCATGTTGACGCGAAATAATTATTTTGGACATTTTGCCTCAAATTCGCGAAATAAGGTTCTCGCGAAAAATAAGTGTTTTACAGTATTATATGCAATTAAACTCCTAAAAGCCATATCAAACTAAATTATGCATGAATGACTCTATATATTTTAAGCATACCTAATTCAGCTCGAAATTGATGACAGCTTAACATCAATTTTAATCTTCCCTAGCTAATAAAAAAAACAGTATAGCATGTCTAAGGACAGGCTGAAACAAACCGAGTTTGCCATCTTGGAAGTACTTCAAGACTTCCTTTTTAATCTCTATTTTATACAATGTAAATGATATTGAAATGTTTTTTGAACAAATATACATATGCAATATACGACGTTTGAATAAAAGCTTAATTTTTTTTATTTTTTGTTCACGTCTTTTTCATGTCATTATTAATTATAGCATAATCCTGACATCAATAGTAATCCTTGTTCTTAAATGTGTATAACTGAGTAATATTAACATTTTTCAATAAACGTGTAGTGTCTGGACTTAAAGGCCAATTTTGCTTTAAAAAATGGTGTTTTTCTTTTTCTGAAAATCTTTTTATTTTTAGTGCTATTGTTTCCATAAACAGTCTACATATTATTGGCCAGTTACCTGAATCATCTTTTGCTTCCGTTGCGATTTATCAATTAGTAAAGTTATAGTGATTACTATAGTATTTTGTATGGAAGTCAAAATAGATCTTTGTTTACAATTTGTTATTTATATGACAAATAATTCATATTTAGCAATTCTTTCTTCAGGTGATCAGCAGATAACATGCTCACCTTAAAACCATTATTTAGTCATTTTAAAACTCATGTTTGCATACACTGGCATACAATGCCTTTAAACATTGCTTTTAATAGTAACATATCAGCAAAGGCTTCACGTTGATATAATCTTTAAACGCATTACTCAATACAGATATATCAATAATAAAAATCTCTAAAATGCCTCTGTGATCATAATCGAATATTTTAATCTTGCAAAAAAATACAGCATAAGAAAAGGGTAAAGCCATTAAAGATTAGTGATATAATACGGTTGATGTTTACAGGTCATTAACACTACAAACTAACAATATTTTACAGGAGATTATCTGAAGTTGTGATAGCTAGTACATAACTGTTATGATGTTATTCTACATGCACTCATTTGTCCTAAACACAAGGGTTCATTGCGCTATGCAGAATTGTGTTCAAGATACATGTACTTATATTATCTTAGCCTACGTTACTGATATGTTCATCAATGACCTACCTTTATGGACAAGTAAAATTTAGGGTTGTCTTGCTATATCATCATGGAGATAATTAATTCTATGAGATGTCACTATGTTATGAAAATTGTGGCACTGAATGACTTAGTTAACAGGAATTCAAGAAATAAGCGATATAATATTCTACGAAGTATTTTGCTGAAATTTGGTTTATGTATAATTTTTTTAAACACTGGACATAAAAAATGAAAAGACCCTTGAAAGCACTAGTCACAACAATATAACATGAAAATTGCGAGTATCTTTGTGTGTCAAAACTATGAAATATTTAGTTTCTTTATAGAATAAAAAGAATGTATAACTTTTATAAATTGATTCCTCTTATTCGTATTTTCTTTCGGTGTTAGGTAATGGTGGAATGAATCCTTTTTTCCTTCTTTTATTATGATTTTCATATTCTTCATAAGACTCAACGATACATGTATATATATTTACATCCTGTTCGTTTATATTATATGGTAATACGCAAGAAATAGACGGGGTAACCCTGAGAGGGGTCTTAAATTAAACTGTTTTGTTTTTCGCCTAGAGTAAAAATAATAATATTAATATAGTACAGTTTTCAATCTGCATTATAAGGCACATACTGTCTTCCCGGCTATGCTGTCAGATAGATAATCAGTTAAAGTTACAATTTCAAAAGATGATGAGATTTTAAATCACATCCCGTATGATTGGTTTATATTTGAGCATATTACACTTTTTTCTTATATATTGCGTCCCAGGTTAAGTGCTGTTTTCTTTTCCACTTTTTGTGGAGCATAGTACGTACCAATATCTTCTGATGACG